TTCCCTCTTTTTGGCGGATTGCTTAGAGGCTCAATGAATAGGGCAAACAGAGCTGGCGACAGGCAGCAACCTTGTCTAGTCGATCTCTGTAAGCCAAATCTATCAGATAAGTTTCCATTTATTTTAATTCTAGCAGTAGGTCGTTGATACAGTGTTTTTATGCATTGTATTGATTTATTATTGAGTCGTTCTAACACTGTTATACAGAAAAGCCCAATTCACCCGATCGAATGCTTTTTCTGCGTCTATGCTTACCAATAAAGTATCTTGTTTTGTCCTTTTTGCTTGTTCTACTATATGCAGTGTCCTCCTGATATTGCCCTGGGTCTGACGTTCCCTCATAAATCCTGTTTGGTGGTCTTCTATTAAATCGTCTATGAAGGTACTCAATCGTTTAGAAATAATGGTTGTATAGATTTTGTAGTCTACATTTAAAATCGGAATAGGCCTATAGTTCCCACAGAATTCCTTATCCCTTCCCGGTTTTGGAATGACTGATATGATTGATTGAGTCCATGATGGCGGCATCTTATTATTTTGGAGAGTCCAATTGAAGGATGCCAGGAGTATCGGTGCCATTTCCTCTCTAAACAGATACCATTCTGCAGGGTATCCATTGCTACCTGGAGACTTGTGATTTCTTAACGTATTTATTGCATCTGTCACCTCTTTTTATGTAATATCAGCTGTTAATGTATCATTTTGTAAACTGCCAATTGACGGTAAATCCAGTGAATTTAGAAAAGTTCTAATTTCTATTTCTTCTGCGTCTGTAGTTCACCATTATTCTCTGTAAACGCAGTGTCATTGCAAAACTGGCCCCGGTAATGGTACAAATCTCAACCTGTCGTACAATGGACAGCTTCCCCCCCCATCTATGTATATACTCGCATTTTAGACTCTGTTACTAACTGTATATCTGTAGACTTGGTATGTCTTAAATGTCCGGTTAGGATGTATTAGAACGAAATCTAAAATGAAAATTGTAAATAAGCCATCTGTATGTAAAAAACCAACTGTATGTAAATTGTAAATAAGCCATCTGTATGTCTTATATGTCTTATATGTCTTAAATGATATGATGAATTGGAAATGGGGGACCCTGATGTAAACAAGACGAAAGTCTTTCTCTGGTCCGCATCCCCTTAACAATTGTATGTTTTGAGCTGTACTGTACTGTACCCAATATACAAGCTGTTAATAAACTTTTCAATCAATCAATCAGTCTCGGAGTGGCCCGTCTCCGTCATTTTAGCTTCTTCGTCCTCGTGTCCGTTATTTTCTTGCTTCGAGTTTTCTGTCACTCCTGGTGGATCTTTCGCTGTTTCTTGTTTTCTGTTATTTCTTCGGCTTCTTCGTCTGATCCCTCTCCTCATTTCCTGGTTTTAGGTATCGAGTTGAGCATTTATGAGGGTTTATTTTGTCCAACTTGCGAGAGGTAGAAGATAGTGTTGCTACTCACGTCGCCATCTTCCGGAAGTCGAGTCCAGGACACACCTCTTAATTAAACATCGTTAGCCTTTATACCAGGTTCAATTTGTTTTGTCAGCAAACTTAAAATATAGTTGTTCATGTTGAGGTAAATAGAGTGTGTCACGCCATTATCATTTAAATAGAAGGTGCATTATTGAGAAAGATGAATTGACTGTGTAACACACACAGACTGTCAGCAGAGGTCAATGTTTTCCCTTCTCATCACAGTTAGACGCCTCAAAGCATGACTTTAATTCATATATTTGACGAAGGTGTTATTTACTTTATTGTTTTTACAGTTTTAGCAGTTGAACATAACAGTGAGAAAGGGAGAGGCTCCATGAGTTGCTCTAAAATGAACACTGTTACACTTGAATTAATCTCTTTGGCCACACCTATAAAGCATTTCAACCCTGTGTTGTAAAAACACATTCCCCTCAGAGGAGTAGCTGTTACACAATGACGTTGTTAGTCAAATTGAATTGGAAGATAAAGAAGACAAACCTGTTTAACGACGAGACAGAGGTGCAACGCTCCTGGGAAAGCACCATTGTATTGTCTTCATGATGTCTCTGTGATGAATGATAATGAGATCATCCCTGCACACAAAAGATGGATGACTAGTGTGTACAGATGTCAAAAAAACAAGTATTATATTATGTTTTAATGTTCTGTTCAGACTCAGGGTCAGATTTATCCCACAGGCGGCTTTTTTGAGTTTCGAGAATAAAACATTTGGGAATATTCATGTGGGAAACCTACTACATTGACATTGAGACGAATATTGAATAGGGTTTAAATTAATTTCCCTTATATAGGGATGAATGTTTGTCCCACTTTAATTTGTCAACAGAATGTTATCTGATTTTCCAGCTCTGAAATGAAATTGGATTATGGATTTTTAGTTTGGATGCGTTAAAAAAAGCGTTTGGGGGTTTTTACCTTCACTGTTTTTATATTCATCTGAACGTAAAAGTTTTCTGGGCTCAACCTCGAGATGAATACGTTATTTTCTGACGCCCACATCAACAAATAAATTGAAAACCAATCACAGTTCAGCATGCGACTTGCAAGTGACATGATGACTTGAAACACTGGGTAGGCTATATATACATCCACCCCGCAGCTGCTTATAATCAGCTCATCACAGGCGTTCTCTTTAACCTGTTACATTTCACCTCATTCTCCAGCAGCCAATCACTGTGCAGCAGCCAAACTTTAAAATGGTTCTCCTCTCTCCTGCAGTCAGCGTGATTTCAGGTGTTCATGCTGCCGACCACCTCCTCCCCATCCACCTCCTTTCATCACATCCAGTGCCAGGAGAGCTAATCCGAAGACCTCATCACATCCCCTCTTCATCCCATCTCATCATCAAATCCAGATCTTCAGCATCATCACCAGTGTCTAGACCCCGGGGGGTTCCCTGTATGCTCACAGCTGCATTTCCCCCTTTAGATATACCATTTCAGGATCGGGGTCTAATCGCCATAGACTTAACATTATCATATGACATATGTCAATAAATGTTTTTTAAACAAAATGAAGTCTCTCTTGATTGAAATAGATAAAAAGGAATTTGAAGGGGCTCGTTAAGATCAATTTAAACATAGATGTCATCGTCCAAAAAGGGTACAATTATATTTACACACACCATACAACATAAATACATCTGTACAGAAAACAGTGTGTTATAGTGTGGCATTAAGCATTGATAGGGTAGATATATTGGGCAAAATAAATAGAATAAAAAACATAATTGAACCACAGTAATAAACAAACCAGCACTACTTCCTTATAGCACCGTTTTTGTACTTTAAAATCCATTTCCTGCTTGATGTCTCGGCCTACACCATGATAGGACACTTTTACGTAAGAAAAGATACACTACTAGGTTGAAAATGACAGGTGTTGCTGACATTGTTTTCTATGCTAGCAGCTGATCAATTGTATAATGCTTTTGGTAAAATGCTTTTTTTGTGCTGCACAACTATCGTGAAGTTCAAACAGAAAGCAACAATGAAACCGAGGAGAATTTCCTGTCCAATATTTGAACATACATTTTTCATTTGTAACTTTTTGTAAACTTTGTCATCAGCTGTTTGAGTAGATGTGAGGAATGTAAGACAGACAGACCTAAAGCATTGGTGAGTGTTAAAGGGGGAAAAAAGTAGGTTTTTCTTCCATAAATGTGTCTCCGTTTTAGCTAAACTTCATTTGTTGGAAATAACTTTTACGTGTATGGATATTGATTTTGTTTAGTATGGAATTAAAGACTTTTAAGACTTAAAATAGGTTCCTTATTGCTCTTTTTTTGTATTGTTTAAGGTCACCCGGGCCTAAATGACAGAAGGCATCACTTTACTTGCTTGATGTTAAGATAAGATAATATAAGAACATAAGAAGTAATTTATTGATCCCAATTTGGGAAATGTTTGCGTTGTTAAAAGACAATGTTCAATACATTAGAGAAATTAAAAGACAAGAAACAAAGAATCCAAAATCTAAACATCTCATCATGTTTAAGGCAACAATGTCATATGTTCGATTTTAGTAAAAGCTCACCTTGCTATTAAGACATAACAAGTTCTATTTTCACATTACATTTTTGGATTAGATTTGACCTTAACCCTAACTGGGGGCTTAATGGGAATTGTGTCCATACTCATCGGGAGACATATCCAGAGGTGGGAAGAAGTGGAGTACAAATACTTTGTTACTTTACTTAAGTACATTTTTCTGGTATCAGTACTTTACTCCACTACTTATTTTCCTGACGACTTTTTACTTTTACTTCTTACATGTTGAACACAAATACCTGAACTTTCTACTTCTTACATGTTGAACTCAAATACCTGTACTTTCTACTTCTTACATGTTGAACCCAAATACCTGTACTTTCTACTTCTTACATGTTGAACACAAATACCTGTACTTTCTACTTCTTACATGTTGAACACAAATACCTGTACTTTCTACTTCTTACATGTTGAACACAAATACCTGTACTTTCTACTTCTCACATTTCCCAAACAGGCTGGTTCCTTTAGTTTGAATGTGTGTTTGGTGGCGTGATCATTATTATTTAGAGTCATTGCGTGCCTATTGATTTGAACACGATCCGTGTATCCATCATTTCCTGGTCTTCTCTAAAGAAGAGGGACCAATGAAAACGTTGTCATGTTGCCGTTGTTCAGCATGGAAACATTCATTAGCTAACAATGACATTATTGTTCTATTAATATAAAGGGAGGTCAGGTACTCTTTAAAACAGCTGCTAGTTATGGGTACTTTTTACTGAAGTACATTTCAAAGCCCTCTTTACTTTTACTTGAGTAAAGAAGTTTAGTCAGTACTTCTACTTTTACCAGAGTATTTTTAAACACGAGTATCTGTACTTCTACTTGAGTAAAGGATGTGTTTACATATATGTCCCCAGGTGCAAAACGCACAGTTTGACCTCCATTAGCATTAATAACAGGAACTATCTGACAGGAACAATGATCACATTGACAAGCCCAAAAACAAAACACAGCCAATATTGATTTTTATCAGCAACACCTGTGTCACAGCTTTGCATATTCATAAACAACACATACACAAAGTTTAACTTCAAAAAGGAAAGAAGAAGAATCCAAATTGTGGTAGAAAAAGAAACAAAGACACATTTGATTAACTTATTTAAAGGATAGCAGCCGAAGTTTCTAAAATGTAACTTCCTTCTGTAACTAAACCATCACTTTCAATTGATGTTATTTTAAATTACTACTGTACTGATACAACTTATTTACATATGTTCACTATTGTAAACTATTAAGACTGGATCTATAAGCACCTCACGTCACATATTCACAATTTTTCGGTTCATGTTTATGAAATTAACAAATGGATGAATAAACATTAAAAAAACATTTAAAATCCAGTATAAAGACGTATCTTCTTCTTCGTGTTTAGTTTCTGCATAACTCCATATTCCTGAGCTCCAGGATGAGGTCCAGTTCTCAGATTATGGTTTTTGAGAATCTCATAGTAATGGTTCCAGTTTCCTTCGTTGTCCGCTCCAAACCCAAAAACACTGATCTGGGAAAACAACAATTGTTCCGTGAATCTCAGCTGAGTTGAGCATTGCTGTCAACAAATGTTTGTTTTAATGTATTATTTTGAATAAATGCTTCATAAAGTAGAATATACATTAACCTTTCTCCATTTTCTATGTTACATTAACTTGGGTTGTAGTAATCAATTTGCCTTTTGGACATTTTATTGTCCATAACCATTAATGATGTCTTCAGCATTTTGGAAAAATACAGATTGTCTTTCTTGTCAAGAGTAAGGTAGGTGTGTTAGTTAGAAAACCTCCATATTTGGTCCTGCTCTAGAGTCTAGACCTTGTTCAACTCAGGGCCCACTTAAGAATTTCGTGGCCCATATTCAACCATAAACAATACGGAGGCTAAATAAAGTTGTCAGAGAACTTTTTAGCTGGCCATCAGTAACAAACAGACATTTTTATTACACGGTTTAGTTGAATACTCGATTCTGAGTCTGATTGGTCAATTTAGAACATGTGACACGTTGTTAATCCAGTAGAACAGACCGCTGTCAAGGACTGTAATGACCGTTGCTAAGGAGGATCAAGTAAGGAAAAGGAAAGGGGTTCAAAGGAAAACATTTTTTTAATAATGAAATGTTTCCACACAAATCATAATGTTTTGCAAATTATTTGGTGGCCCACGTGCAATGCCTTCGCAGACCACTAGGGGGCCGCGGTCCACAGGTTGGGAACCGCTGGTCTAGACTATTCTTTGTAATATCCAACAAGAGGATAGAAGTCTATGAAAATAATCTGCATACTTCACACCTAAGTAAACACTTTCCTGATGTGTTTCTGTAAATGTTTGTATGAAAACTTGTCATCTTTGGACAGAGCCAGACTAGCTCCTCATTTCAAGCAAGCCCCCAGGAAGTGCGCCAGACTCTGACCCCTAGATTCCACGGGGTCCGTCTGCGTCGCGTTACGGCCGCGTTACGGCCGCGTTACGGCTGCGCCGCGGCGTTCGCAAAGATCGCGGCCACTCTAGTCAATGGGTGCTATTCCACCAGACGCGCCGCGTTACGGCCCAGAAGCGTCTCTGCACTGGGCTCCGCTCAAAATAGGATTCAAGTCTATTTTTCGACGCGAGGCGTTGCATGGCGCCGGGCAGGAAGTGGACCCGTCAGAGCATCCAGTCAATCCCCAAAATAAACTAATTTTGCAGACCCTATCCCTCCGTAGTCTTTCAAGTAGGAGGAGAAATGCCAGCGTTCTCCTCCGGTTTACAGGCACTGTGTAAATTATATATATAGAATAATTATGATGATGAATGCATTTTTTTACCACTAAAATACAGCAACACATCTTTGATTCATGTCGTTTATAACTGGAATATTACAATTATTATTAACTTTGTCTGTACAAAGTAGCCTGTCCAGGAAATATGCCCAAATCAACAAAAACTGCGAGCCGGCACGCAAGACGCTCCGCTACTGAAATGCTTCTGAAATGCTTCTGAAACGCGCCTGGTAGGGTATGACGCCGGAGGAGGCCGGACCAAAACCGCGGCGCAGCCGTGACGCGACGCAGACAGACCCGGTGGAATCGAGGGGTGAGGAACAAATTCGTAGTGGCCAAACGGCGGTACTACCATTTCCGTATCAGTCCATGACGCCACTGGGCCCAGAAAGACTTTTTCCCATTGACTAACATGGGAAAGAGACGTCTGTAAATCAGCAGATACTTTTTTTTAAACTAAATAAATTACCCAGTATGAACTATTGTATAGCCCTTATTAAAAACATTCGGTCCTTAAAGTTGTAAAATGCACTAAAAGCCGAATCTAGATTTATTTTCTCTCTCCATTCATTCTACTGAGCCGAGAGTGGGAGCTCGGGGGGCGGGGCTTAAGGGACGCATGCTCTGTGAGCGCACATACGGGTTCTTCTGCTCTGACAGCTAGGCATGACGGGTAATCTGTGACGTTTCGCTCTCTCAAAAGTTGTGCCATTTTGCCTTCATGCTCCAATGAGCAGCTCTCATAGGAAAGAACGAGACCCCGCCTCCCACGCTGTATCCAGTTCTTATTATACATCCATGATTTCAAGTCATCATGCTAATCCAAGCTAACAGGCTAATGCTACGTGCTCCCAACAATGTTGAAATACAGCTATTCAATCTTCTTGTGTTTATTTTGAGGTACTCATGATTGACCTAGCTGTATTTTTCCTTGCCATAACCAGCACATCATCTTTTCTGGGCGTATTGCAACCATCACTGTCAATTTGTATAAAAAATAACTTGTAAATGTTGACAATGATCAATTTGAACGTACCTGATCACACATGAACAGGCTGAGAATTACAGTCATGAAGCCAGTGGATGGATATCTGCCTTTCTTTTCCAGCCAGTTTTGATGGACATGCTTCATGAACGCTGGATTGAGGATCATCACCTGTAATCAATCAGATTTAGACCTTATTAAACTGATATTGGTACAAACCATTCCTATCACCAGTCAATGCACATTACAATGAGTTTACTAAGTTATTACCTTTTAGCCAATTCCTTGTAATTTGTTTACAATATCCAATCCAATCCACTTTATTTATATCGCACATATTAAAAACAGAGGGTTTACCAAAGTGCTTCACAGCAAACATAACATTATAATAACATATAATATTACAATAATAGATAAAAGGCACACATAAGAATTAATACAAGGTACACAAAGACTATGGACAGACAATAAAAGCTTAAAAATCGATAAAACAGCTCAGACTGACTCGAAAGCGAGGGAAAAGAGGTGGGTCTTCAGGCGGGACTTAAAAGTTTGAAGGGTGGGCGACAATTTGACATGGGGGGGGGGGCAGGTCGTTCCAGAGCCTGGGGGCTACCGCTGAGAAGGCTCGGTCTCCCCTGGTCTTTTTCTTGGTTTCAGGGACTACCAGCAGCAGCTGATCAGCCGACCTCAAAGCCCTTGAGGGGGTGTACACCTTTAGGAGATCGGAGATGTACTGAGGGGCCAGCCCATTAAGCGATTTAAAAACAAACAATAACATCTTAAAATGGACTCTAAAATGGACGGGAAGCCAGTGGAGGGAAGCCAGTGGAGGGAAGCCAGTGGAGGGAAGCCAGTGGAGGGAAGCCAGATCCCTGTGTGTGATGTGTTCATGCTTGCGTGTTCCAGTAAGCAGCCGAGCCGCAGCGTTTTGTACCAGCTGCAGGCGTGCCAGCGAGGTCTTGTCTAGGCCGGCATAAAGTGCTTTACAGTAATCTAGACGAGTAGAAGCAAAGGCATGAATAACACGCTCAAAGTCTAAAAAGGATAAAACCGGTTTAATTTTGGACAGGAGCCTCAAGTGATAAAAACTGGACTGAACCACAGAGTCTACAATTTAAAAGCACTGTCGATTTTGACGCCCAGATTTGTGACCATGGGTTTTGCATATGGTTGCAGGGAACCCAGGTCACTGGAAGGGACATCACCATTTGGTCCAAACTCAATGACCTCTGTTTTGCTCTCATTTATATTTAAAAAGTTTAGCGCCATCCAGGCCTTTATGTCATTAAGACAGTCAACCAGGGGCATCAGAGAGCTGGTGTTTTTTTTTAGGGGTAGGTATATTTGGGAGTCGTTCGCATAAAACAATACAAGTTATTAAAACATTTATTACTTGTTTCATGCAAAAACCATTTGAATACTCACCAAATCCTTGTTAGCTATTCTCTTTGTGTTTCCAGCAGCTCCTTCACTGTTGGAGGAAACATTGTTCAATTCAGTAGAAAACTTACAAAAGAACTATTTAGTAAGAGTTATATTACACTCTCTGTCAGATTTCAAATCCATAGCTATAGTAAATTGGTAAGGGCCCTTGCATAGCCTATATTTAATTATTATTACCACAAATCAGGTCAATCAAGAGCATACAGACTTCCAACGCTTTTTTATTTTATTTGATATTCTTTACATTTTTAAATTTGTAATGCTATTTTATTTCTATTTCTGAAATATTTTGGACTGTTTATTTCTTTTGTCTTAGTTTCTCTCATGTACATTGCCTTGTGTTTTTTATGCTGCTGCAACGCAAAGATTTCCCTATTTGGGATCAATAAAGTACGTCTGTCTGTCTGTCTGTCTGTCTGTCTGTCTGTCTGTCTGTCTGTCTGTCTGTCTGTCTGTCTGTCTGTCTGTCTGTCCGTCCGTCTGTCCGTCCGTCCGTCCGTCCAACTATCTATCTATTTGTCTGTCTGTCTGTCTGTCTATCTATCTATTTATCCGTCCGTCCGTCCGTCTGTCTATCTATCTATCTATCTATCTATCTATCTATCTATCTATCTATCTATCTATCTATCTATCTATCTATCTATATATATATCTATCTATCTATCTATCTATCTATCTATCTATCTATCTATCTATCTATCTATCTATCTATCTTTCTTATCTATCTATCTATCTATCTATCTATCTATCTATCTATCTATATATCTATCTTTCTATCTATCTATCTATCTATCTATCTATCTATCTATCTATATATCTATCTATCTATCTATCTATCTATCTATCTATCTATCTATCTATCTATCTTTCTATCTATCTATCTATCTATCTATCTATCTATCTATCTATCTATCTATCTATCTATCTATCTATCTATCTATCTTTCTATCTATCTATCTATCTATCTATCTATCTATCTATCTATCTATCTATCTATCTATCTATCTATCTATCTATCTATCTATCTATCTTTCTATCTATCTATCTATCTATCTATCTATCTATCTATCTATCTATCTATCTATCTATCTATCTATCTATCTATCTATCTATCTATCTATCTGATTGTCTGTCTGTCCGTCCGTCTGTCTGTCTGTCTATCTATCTATCTATCTATCTTTATATCGGTTGGTTTGAATATATAAACCAGTTTTCCAGCTTGGCTATATTTGGATTGCAATTTAAAATGTATATTGATTTCAATGATTGCTCAAAAGAGAAACATTTTCTCGCTGTAAAGACCACATAAAGTACACTTTTCCTGCACAATCCACTCCAAACCTTCCTTATACTTCATGCAAACTCATCCATTAAATGCACTTATCTTTGCGTTCCTAGCTTTAATTGAACTACACATCAGGTATTGTTTTAAAATGACCACCCACCTTGGTTTGAACTTGTTTATGAGCCACAGTAAATCTGTAGTTTTGAATGGAAACAGCACAAGACTAGTGTTGTCTGGCAAATTAATGGCACTCTCTGGATAGAGTATATGATGAGTTGTTCTGGTCCCAACATCTTTTTCAAATCCTTTGGTACGGCCGTGGTTCATTCTTAAAAAAACATAGTTTGAGGACAATTATATGAGGATTTCATGGAGTGTACAATTTGTTTTAAAGCGTATTTGCACAGGAATAGAATAACCAACTTGTAGTACATTTGAACAAAGAATCCTTAATAAGGCAAGTAAAAATGTAACTGCAAATGTTTTGTAAACACTGAGGTAACGTAGTAATGTAATTCCCATAAGAATCGGCATTGCAGTAATTTAGATATTTGTTTTATTGGATTCTTTCTGCCTCTTTGTGGTTGGAGAATTATGAAAGCTGTGTTAGTAATTATAAGAAATCCCAGCTGTCTGATGGTAAGATTTGACAGCATTTTCGGTGCAAATTCAGGACGTTACAGAATAATCGGAGCATAGGTCTTTGTGAATATTGTAAAAATGTAACAATCATTTGTAATCTGAGGGATAATACTAGAACATTCATAACATTCACCTGTTTGCAACTTACAAATTATTTATCCAATATATCATATTCCACGTGCATATAGACTCTTCTTGCACTATTTTTATTCTATTGTATTTGTATTTACTTGCACTGTTTTATCTGTTTTATTGTGTCGCACTGTTGGAGGACCCTAAGATTCTCATTGATATATCCACACTGTAGGTATGTACAAATGACAATAAAAGCCTTGAAAAAATAATACATGCTTTCTGTTCCTTTGCCAATTTCTAAACCACATGGTACAAAAAGTAATTTCAGTCTAGATGTTATTAGAAATAGCAGTAGTGATTTACCGTATTACTAAATCATGAGCATCTATGAGAGGTCCATAGTGTGATCGCTTCAAATTTCCCGAATTCCCCACCACAGCACAGCTGACGCAGCGGTCAGGGTTCGATTCGACAACATCTGGAACTGGTGGGAAGATCTTAAACAGTTTTTCCACCGTTGCGTTGAACTGAGTGAAGTTGCGGTGGTCGTACTGTAATGTCTGACAAATAACAGAAAAATAAGGTTATTCCAGCATTCGTGTACAATTCAATCAAATACCAGTTCCACTTAAAGGTCCCCTATTATACTGTTTTTCATCAATATATTATAGGTCTCAGATATATACAGAACATGTCTCTGATTGGCTGAAACACCAAACAGATCATTGCAGCATTACCCATAATCCCCTCTGTTTCAGCCCTGTTTCAAAAGTGCTGATTACTTTAGATGAAAATAAGGAGCCCCTCCCCACGCCCCTCTGAGAGAGATTTGGTTACAAAGAACACAATGGTGCTCTAGGAGGAGATTCAGGTGATAAGGTGGGGGGGTTACCTTGGTTGGTGATTGGCTAATGGTGACACAAGACAAAACATCATTATGACATCATCAAGTGGCCAAAATCTGATCAGCTCATTTTCAGACAGGTTTTTATAGAAATGGATCAAAAAGAGAGAGAATCTTTGTTCCTGAAACTTTCAGAGTCTCTTTCCACAGAGGGGACACATGTTGATGATTGATTGATTGATTGATTGATTGATTGATAGATAGATAGATAGATAGATAGATAGATAGATAGATAGATAGATAGATAGATAGATAGATAGATAGATAGATAGATAGATAGATAGATAGATAGATAGATAGATAGATAGATAGATAGATAGATAGATAGACAGACAGACAGACAGATAGATCGATAGATTACCTTCCACCAATTGTATTCTTCCAGCGATGTCCGATGTGTTTTTGACAGAAAGGGTCTTGGAACTGCGTTGAAAGTCTCTTTAAACCACGGATCTCCGTCCCCTAAACATGTGTGACAGTCACAACTTCTGGAGCTCCCATGGTCCGGGAAATACACCGATAAATTCCACGTGGATCCATACAGCAAGTAAATGGCAGCGATGCTCAGAAGGGACAAGAGAGTTTTGATTGTATTTAATCTGTAAAACATCTCGGCAGCGTGGCTCTCCTAAATCAGTCACAGCCAATCTGTGGATAGAGTTTATAATGAAAGAAAAGGGTGGATCAGTCATCTATTATCTGTGAGGCAGCCACGCCTGACATTCAAACACCTATTATCTACAGGTGTCTTCAGTAGAGGGTCAGAGTAACATACGATGGCTCCAATTATGGTATGATTCAACATCAAAACATCAATTTAATGCAATAAGCGACTTATATTAACAGCTGTGTCAGCTATTTTACTGTTCTGTGAACCACAATAAGATGTACCAATGTTTGTGTTTCTACGAGGAAGTAAACTAATAACTATTAAACAAAGAGATGCAATGCAATATGAAATTATAAAAAGTCCATGCTGTTGAGCTTTGATCATAAAGTGTTTTACCTTACAGCAGTTTATTCTATCATAAAGTATATTTGCAACACTTTAACATCACATGACTGTAACTGATGAGTAAGACCTGTACCCCATTTATGCATTTACAGTAATAAAGAAATTACAAAAAAAACAGGAGGTTATTTTAGTAAAGTTTGCAAACCCTTTGACAGTTGACACAGTATTTACTCCACTCTTACACCTCTACGCCTTTCTGTAGTGTGTTATATAGGTTTTGATGCATGTAAATGGTCTGCAAAGGCTACATTTTTTAAGGGGCGGGACCTCTCTAAGCGGTTGACCAATCACAACAGGGCCGGCCAGCTAACCAATCAGAGCAGACTGGGCTCTGGTTTCAGACAGAGGGTGAAAAGAGGCGCAGCAGCACAGACAGTATGAGAAACATAAAGAGCTTTTTGAGCATTGAAGCATGGAGACATGTCCCAGGAGAGGCAAACAATACACATTTGTAGCATAAAATGTAGTTTTTAAGGGTGGAATTCCATCATTTCAGAGGCGAATTACAGAAATACTCACAGGTGCATAAGTGCATAAAGGGGAAGTTAAGAGCACGGAAGGAATAAGATAGTTTTTTTTAAACATATGTAGGTGTAGTGCTTGTAGATCAAATCAAACCAGTTCCATGGCATTGCTTAACTCTTGTATGGTGTTCGGGTCTGTGGGACCCGTCATTATTTAGTTAAAGAAAAACCCACACTCAATGGCCTTGGCTCATTGTCTGTGAAGAACATATATCAGAACACATTTTCAATGACCACCCACTGTACACACCCCCTACACATTTATATGACACACACTACAGGATGTCCGGGTCCACTGGTGCTAATAAAAGTGTGGGACGTGTGCGTGTGTGTGTGCGTGTGTGTGTGCGTGTGTGTGTGTGTGTGTTTCCCGCACAAGGTTGCAACATTGTTGATAAACTCAAGCACCGACACCTGTCTGCTCTCACATTCCCGCATTATGTTTTAAGGGAACCAATCTTTATTTTTTTCACACTCTATCCCAGCTGCAAATTTGGGGCAAGACACAATAAATAAAGCTTTGCCAGTTTGGGTCCTTATCACAACTGATCAAGATGGCCAAAAGATTCTCTGCTCAGAGGGCCTTGCAAATGATTCTGGAAGAGAGAGAACCATTTGATGATGATGTAGAGCAGTGGTTCCCAACCTGGGGGGCGCCCCCCCTGCGCCAAAGATCGCAGGGGGGGCGCCAGGCCTCAGATCATATTTAGACTTTTTATTTTTCTTTTTTTTTTACATATAATTGTAACGCAATACATGATTGTCACTAAAAGCCTTGTCTCTACATTACAATACAATTTAAAAAATAATTGATTAATTAATTTGAATAAAAATTCAAGTTAGTAGCTATTATAGGCATACAAAGGCAGAAATGTATAATTCTTTCTTTAATAGAAATGTTTCTTCTTCCCGTAAAGTGTCCAAACCAGGCTTTTCTGGATATGCGCATTTTTAAAACATAGTCATTGTCCATACCGGTTTCCGATCAGATCGGTCTCCTCCATTTTGTAGATTATTTACGACTTTTGAATCCACATAAACACATCGGCAAAATCCGGCTTACTTTGAGCATGTGTTTTAAACAGTTTAATCCCTTTGTGAATTGTTTCCACTTGCACCGTCCTTTAATTTCTTCATACAGCAGGAATCCAAATGAATTAATCCTGAGTCCAATAACCATCAAAGTCACTCCAATAGTGCTCCTTGATTACGCTTTCATCCTCCTTTAACAACATACTTCACATTCATCCAGTTTGTGACAGTAGTTTTTGAGACTTTTAAACTGTAATTACCGCTGTTGTGTGAACACCACACAAGGGTTAAAGAAATGCTGCGGGTTGTCATCACAATAAGAGGTTAAAATGAAACATCCCTGAGCTGTTTAGTTATGGGGTTTGGTAGGTAGGGTGTGAGACAGTAAACAAAAGAGAAGTCAGAAAAGGCTGCCATCATCTCAGAGGAACATTTCACATTGTGTAACCAACAGCAAAACCAATGTGCAGTTTCTGAATGTTAAATGTGTTGTTTATTTGTTGCTTAAATTAGCTTTATTTGAAAAAGAAAAATGTATTTAATTTTTTTCACCATGTTTAACGTGAGAGATTTCAAATACATTCTAGGTTATTAGTTCGTCTTTGTATTGCATAATCTTTTAAACCTAATTACACGTTTTACCATCATTACAGACCATAATCTGACTAAACTGTAGCAACTAACAGGCGACTATGAGATTATAATAATTTTGCTTTTGCCAAGTGTATTGTTTTAAAGGCAGACATCAGCATAGAAAGAACTTAATCACACACTTTTACATTTAAGCCTTCAAACCTCCTGTCACTCGGATTAAAATGACTTTTGAATCATACAGTATTTCAAAAATCCCATCAGTTGAAACATGTGATATATATATATGAATTTATTGTCTTACCTGACAAGGCACACTGCGAATGGGACAAGACGTTCAGCAGCAGCAGATTAACCTGTTGGATGTGCATCTTACGCTACGTGATGCAAAGCAGGTTAAACTCTCAGAGGGGAGGAAACCTGAGCAGCGTGTTGTGACTCAAAACATGGAAACATTCCATCGTTTATATCCCGCCCTACTACCAGTTCGTCAGGTTTAGCAACAATACAAAGCTAAACCTACCAGGGTTGGGAGGGTTTCTGTAAAAATGTAATCCAAATGTCTCGTGTCATCCTCCCCTACTTTCCCTTTTTCCATCCAAGTTTGTTCCAATCTCCTTTGGTCCAATTATTTCCTAAACTGCACTGTAACTTTTATTCATGTATTTTTGAATATCTTCTGTAACCTATAAGCTTTACATATTATGACCTGTTAGCAGCTGCTACAAACAACCAGCCCCCTGTAGCTCCTGTTGTTTATTAGTCAGTAGCTGCATAACACTTCCGTGTGTGATAGTTGTCCAGCCTTCCTCGTCCTGATTCTCATTATGAGTGTGTATGCACAAACCTTTCACTAGGCATGTGTGTTGTGTAAAGTCATATCCACAGAAATACAGCATGATCTGCAGAAATGCAACTTCCTCTATAACGAACATGTCTTTTAACTAATAATACGTTTACATGTAAAGTGATATTTCTCTGTTTCTGCTTCACTTTCTGAGCCAACTGACATTTTTGACTTCCCTGCTATTGTGTCACATCTTCCTCTGTTCCTCAGTTTTGTTTATTGACTGGTAGCCAAGGTTTTAAAAGAAAAACCCAGTGTCCTTTTCTCCCTCTTTTGATTAGGAAATGACAATCTGATTACCAGTCGATGCTACATTCAAATAGCCCATCACGTATGCAAAGGTGGTATCTGACCTTTTCATATGCTACTTTGCAAAAAACAAAGATCAGAGAAATGAAGCTCAGCGCAAGTTCTTTCAGGAAGACTTGTATACATTCCCTCCGCAGCTGCTTATAATCAGCTCATCACGGGCTTCCTGCTAACCTATTACATTCACCTCAATCTCAGCAGCCAATCATTGTGCTGCAGCCAAACTTTAAAATGGTTCTCCTCTCTCCTGCAGTCAGCTGTGATTTCAGGTGTTCATGCTGCCGACATACCCATTTCAGATCCTCGTAGCAGATATCAAGCAAGAGCGAGAGGAGAAGACCTCCATCGTCAGAAACACGGGTACGTCCGGACGTCTCGGCATAAGCGCACAAGCCGATCCGGCATCAGAACGGAGTCGAGGCCCCTCGATCAGCTGATCCGCGAACACGGAAGTCGCATTACGCACAAGCCGACCGCGAGCAGGCCCTCTACGCCACATTCAATCCCTCCCAGGTAATTCAACCAGCAGATAAGTGTCTCTCACAACAATGAGTCACTCACTCAGCTCACGTTTTAATCGTCTGCAGAATACCTTCATTGCATTACATTATTCATTAATCAGCACTTCTCCAGAACGGTTTCATCTAATTGTATCCCTGTCCTGTACATTCTCTGTTTTATAATGATTGCTTATTCTGCCCTTATTCTAACCACACGCATTCCCTATCCTACCTGATATCCACGCCGTACTGGCTAATCAAAAACTCTTAATCTCCTACGGTAAACTAAGCATATAACTGGTGGTGGTGTATCACATCCTTCTAAGATCATGTTTTACCACATGCTATGCCTCTCTCACTTATCCAGCAGACTGCCTGAGTGATCAGAAGTCCTGCTCCATGCAATAGCCAGCAGACTGCCTGAGCCATCAGAAGTCTTGCAATAGCCAGCAGACTGCCTGAGCCATCAGAAGTCTTGCAATAGCCAGCAGACTGCCTGAGGCCATAGCAGCAGACTGCCTTGCAATGCAATAGCCAGCAGACTGCCTGAGCCATCAGAAGTCTTGCAATAGCCAGCAGACTGCCTGAGCCATCAGAAGTCTTGCAATAGCCAGCAGACTGCCTGAGCCATCAGAAGTCTTGCAATAGCCAGCAGACTGCCTGAGCCATCAGAAGTCTTGCAATAGCCAGCAGACTGCCTGAGCCATCAGAAGTCTTGCTCCATTCAATCCAATCCAATCCAATCCAACTTTATTTATAAAGCACTTTAAAACCTCCAGACCAAAGTGCTGTACAGAGAGATATATAAAATCACACAGCTCTGCTCACAAAACATAAAAATAAGTATAAAATCACATAAAAGATATGAAACACAAAACAAACCAGAATAAACGTAACAATTACAAAATTAAAATTAAAATTAAAACATAAAAACAACCACATAGTACAAACATCAGACCACTGAAATCAAATAAAAGCAACAATCTACTTGGTTCCGAATGCTAAGGAGAAGAGGTGGGTTTTAAGACAGGATTTAAAAACAGACGGTGTGGGAGCCTGTCTGATTAGCAAGGGCAGGTCGTTCCACAGTTTAAGGGCGGCAGCAGAGAAAGCACGGTCCCCTCTGCGCTTGGACTTTGTTTTTGGCACCCTCGGGAGCAACTGATCAGCTGACCTGAGAGTGCGAGTGACAGCTCAACGAGGTAGGGCGGGGCCAGGCCATTGAGGGCTTTAAAAGTAAATAAAATAGTTTTAAACTGAATCCTCGAATGAACGGGCAGCCAGTGGAGTGAAGATAAAATGGGGGGAAATGTGCTTGTGTCTGCGTGTGCCAGTTAGGAGCCGTGCTGCTGCATTTTGCACCATCTGCAATAGTCAGTATCACCGGGAGTGCAGCTCACCCCATTCGATTTTCCTTCTCTGTCCGCTCACCCTCTCCTATTTTCCTTCTCTCTCCCCGCACATTCCTGTCTAACCCTTGCTTGCTTCCCAGTTTAGACTCGTCGCATCACGTAAGGTAATTACATGCCCACATTCAGCGCAGCAATACTATCATATCACTCACGGATATTATCGTAATGATTCATTGCATCGCATCATTCATCATTCGTTTGTTGGGGGTTTCTCTTTTCCTAGTTCGTACCCGGCCGCAGTCAGGCTCCTTATCTATATCATTTATAAACATTTCTGCCTCACTGCATAAATCTCGGTCTAAATCCTCAATCATGTCTCAGCAGAATCCATGCCACCTGGTATGGTAAAAACCTTCGTCAAGTGGTCCGATCTTAATCTTTCATCCACTTTCCTCCTTGTTGGGGGTTCCCTATATGCTCACGGCTGCATCCCCCCTTTAGATATACGATTTCAGGATCGGGGTCTAATCCCCAAAGACTTAACATTTATCATATGGCATGTGTCAATAAATGTTCTTTAAACAAAATGAAGTCTCTCCTGATTGAAATCTGTTATCCCTGAATCGTTGGGCAAACAAATTATCATTTATAAAAGTTCTTAAAGCAATCCTTTACATTAAATATACCACCCTGACTAGAAGAGGCATGGTGGTGTTTTGAGTTAAATGCTAACATGCTAGCATCAGGCTAAGGGAGTATCTGATGCATATTAGCTGTAGTTCTTCTTTCTTTTGACAATAAAAACAATAAAAAAAACATATTCTGTTTTTTGTGAAAGAAAGTCCAAAAGGAAATATATTTGGAGTTTTGAACTTATATAATACACTAAACATCTCATTGATATTTATTTTCTCTTGTATTTATTTATATTTAAGTTATCCAAAAGTAACGGAAAGGACTCGGTAACATATACAGTATATTGTGATATTTAGATATTACATTTTCTTTCAAGTTAATAAGTCACTGTAACAGATTACATTTTAAAAGTAACCCTGCCAACCTTGGCTAGCATGCTTGTTATCAAAATGCTAACATGTTGTTGTTTAGCATGAGTGTTTTACTATCTTAGTTTAGCATGATAGCTTGTTATCAGACACTCGAAACTAAGAACAGCTGAAGGTAAAGTAAACAGTTAATAACCAAAGTACCAAATACACGATCACGTTAAATTGCAAATAAGAGAACCACAAACCTTCTTATGAAACGGGATGTGCGTCTGCCGCCTTTAGCCTACTCAGTTTCATGCCTTATGTGTTTCCAGAGATAATGTCTTCCACTTATTACAGCATCAACTTTCATAATGACACCATGAAAGGTTTCTATTTCATTCATTAGTTAAATATTGGTATGAGTGTGTTATCCTTTCTACAGATCATAGAAATACACCATGTCCCCATGAGGAAATAGATATAGGTGTGTGTGTGTGTGTGTGTGTGTGTGTGTGTGTGTGTGTGTGTGTGTGTGTGTGTGTGTGTGTGTGTGTGTGTGTGTGTGTGTGTGTGTGTGTGTGTGTGTGTGTGTGTGTGTGTGTGTGTGTGTCATTCCCGCACAAGGTTGCAACATTGTTGATAAACTCAAGCACCGACACCTGTCTGCTCTCACATTCCCGCATTATGTTTTGCGGGAACCAATCTTTATTTTTTTCACACTCTATCCAAGCTGCAAATTTGGGGCAAGACACAATAAATAAAGCTTTGCCAGTTTGGGTCCTTATCACAACTGATCAAGATGGCCAAAAGATTCTCTGCTCAGAGGGCCTTGCAAATGATTCTGGAAGAGAGAGAACCATTTGATGATGATGTAGAGCAGTGGTTCCCAACCTGGGGGGCGCCCCCCCTGCGCCAAAGATCGCAGGGGGGGCGCCAGGCCTCAGATCATATTTAGACTTTTTCTTTTTCTTTTTTTTGCATATAATTGTAACGCAATACATGATTGTCACTAAAAGCCTTGTCTCTACATTACAATAAAATATAAAAAATAATTGATTAATTAATTTGAATACAAATTCAAGTTAGTAGCTATTATAGGCATACAAAGGCAGAAATGTATCATTCTTTCTTTAATAGAAATGTTTCTTCTGCCCGTAAAGTGTCCAAACCAGGCTTTTCTGGATAAGCGCATTTTTAAAACATAGTCATTGTCCATACCGGTTTCCGATCAGATCGGTCTCCTCCATTTTGTAGATTATTTAAAGTCATATCCACAGAAATACAGCATGATCTGCAGAAATGCAACTTCCTCTATAACGAACATGTCTTTTAACTAATAATACGTTTACATGTAAAGTGATATTTCCCTGTTTCTGCATCACTTTCTGAGTCAACTGACATTTTTGACTTCCCTGCTATTGTGTCACATCTTCCTCTGTTCCTCAGTTTTGTTTATTGACTGGTAGCCAAGGTTTTAAAATAAAAACCCAGTGTCCTTTTCTCCCTCTTTTGATTAGGAAATGACAATCTGATTACCAGTCGATGCTACATTCAAATAGCCCATCACGCATGCAAAGGTGGTATCTGACCTTTTCATATGCTACTTTGCAAAAAACAAAGATCAGAGATATAAAGCTCAGCGCAAGTTCTTTCAGGAAGACTTGTATACATTCACTCCGCAGCTGCTTATAATCAGCTCATCACAGGCTTCCTGCTAACCTATTACATTCACCTCAATCTCAGCAGCCAATCATTGTGCTGCAGCCAAACTTTAAAATGGTTCTCCTCTCTCCTGCAGTCAGCTGTGATTTCAGGTGTTCATGCTGCCGCCCGCCTCCTCTCCATCCACCTCCTTTCATCACATCCAGTGCAAGGAGAGCTAATCCAAAGACCTCATCACATCCCCTCTTCATCCCATCATCAAATCCAGATCTTCAGCATCACCACCAGTGTCTAGACCCCGGGGGGTTCCCCATATGCTCACGGCTGCATTTCCCCCTTTAGATATACGATTTCAGGATCGGGGTCTAATGGCCAAAGACTTAACATTTATCATATGGCATGTGTCAATAAATGTTCTTTAAACAAAATGAAGTATCTCCTGATTGAAATCTGTTATCCCTGAATCGTTGGGCAAACAAATGATCATTTATAAAAGTTCTTAAAGCAATCCTTTACATTAAATATACCACCCTGACTAGAAGAGGCATGGTGGTGTTTTGAGTTAAATGCTAACATGCTAGCATCAGGCTAAGGGAGTATCTGATGCATATTAGCTGTAGTTCTTCTT